AAAAAGGTTATCCGATCTGATAAATGAGTTTCAGCTAAAGCAACACATTACAAGTCCGACTAGAATACCGACAACATCTAAAACATTAATTGACATAATAATGACTAAAGCAAGCGATACCAAAATTATAGACTCTGGAGTGATACATTTAGGACTGAGTGATCACAGTTTAGTGTACATTTGCCGCAAAGTAGGAATACCTAGGGCTGAACCAAAAATTGTAGAAACAAGGCAGTTTAAATACTTTAATTCATCTGCATTTCAATACGACTTAAAAATGGCATTTCAAAGACACAACAACCTCTATAATTATGCCGACCCAAATCATGCGTGGGAGGCATGGAAAACTATTTTTCTTGATATTGCAAATATGCATGCTCCACTTCGGATTCGGAAAGTCAAAAGTGAGCACTGTCCTTGGATGACAACCGAAATAAAAAACCTGGCGCATCATAAATTCTACTTGAAACAAAAAGCGGTCAAATTTAACTCTTCTAATTACCACGAAGCTTATAAACGTTGTAGAAATGAACTTAACAAAAGAATCAAAGCAACTAAGGTTCATTTTTACAACACTAAACTACAAAACAGTAAAAATAGTAAAGAAGGTTGGAATACATTAAATAATCTGCTTAATAGGAAATCCAAAACCACAATTGTTAATGAACTTAGCGTAGACCATGGAAAAAATGTAACACAAGATAAAGCCATAGTCGACGAGTTTATAAATTCTTCACTTCTATAGGTCCCAAATTAGCAAATAACATTGCTGACAATGGCTGTAGTCCTGATCCTTTGTCATATATAGACCAAGTCACAAATGTATTTCACTTTCATAGCATATCAAGCTATGAGCTGAAAAGAGAAATACAAAATATGCAAATGGCAAAATCTACAGGTCTAGATAAGATCTCAACTAAGCTAATAAAACAGGCAGGCGATACAATAACTGAATCACTTCTAGAAGTGTTTAACCTATCTCTTAGGACAGGAATATTTCCAGATGATTGGAAATTTGCCAAAGTGACTCCAATATATAAGTCAGAAAACAAAACCTTATGTGAAAACTATAGACCGATATCAGTCATTTCGAATATCGCCAAAATATTTGAGAAATTAGTCTGTAGACAACTAAATACCTTCCTGGATAACAACAACATAATTGTAAAAAATCAATCAGGTTTCCGTCGCAGTCACTCAACCGAAACCTCGTTACTACAATCTACTGAAATGTGGTTGAAATCAATGGACCAGGGTCAAATAAATGGGGTTATTTTCTTAGACCTGAAAAAAGCATTTGATACGATTGATCACCAGATTCTATTGTCAAAACTACAAGCTTATGGGATACGCGACCACACGCTCAAATGGTTCCAATCGTATTTAGATCAAAGAAAGCAAATTTGCATGCTAAAGAACTGTAAATCTGATATTGAAACAATTCGTTGTGGAGTACCTCAGGGTTCAAATCTTGGACCTCTATTATTTCTCATTTACATAAACGACCTTCCAAACTGCCTAGAAACAACACATTCTAATTTATTTGCTGATGACACAATTTTATCATGTCAAGGGCATTTATCCATAGATATTGAATACAAACTTAACAAAGACCTAGTAAATGCTCAAAAATGGTTATCAGCGAATAAACTAACATTAAACAACGAAAAAACCAAATATATGATTATTGGATCTCGGCAACGATTGAAAAACTTAGATCACGTGCCAAAAATCAGTATAAACGGACATCAAATTGAACGAGTTTATAAAAAGGAAGCTTTGGGTATAGTTATAGACGATAGACTTAGCTGGAATAGGCAAAATGAAGAACAATGCAACAAGATATCAAAAAATATTAATCTTTTAAGAAAAGCCAAAGATTTTGTTGGCCTAGATACGCTCAAAATTATGTATAACGCATTAGTCGCGCCTCATTTTAACTACTGTTCAACTGTTTGGCAAAATAACAACCAAACACACTTAGACAAATTATATAAGCTTCAGAAACGAGCAGCAAGAATAATAACAAATTCGGACTATACTATAAGATCTTCGGACATTTTTCAAAAACTTAGCTGGAAACCTCTTGACTTAATTTTGAAAAAGCGAGATCTCCTTATGACATTTAAAGCGATTAATGGCATGCTTCCAGAATACGTAACACAACTATTTCACACTTGTGAAAACAATGGTTACGTACTGCGCAGTAGTAATTTAAAGCTGTCTCAACCTAAACCAAAAACGAATTTCTTGAAAAATAGCTTTTCGTACAGAGGAGCAGCGTATTGGAACAACATCCCAGTAAACTTGTTGAAAACCCTAAGAGAGTCAACAAGTTTAAAATCTGTCCATCATCTATTAAATAATTACATCTTGTAAATAAGTAAATAAGTAAATAAGTATATTTTTGTAAATAAGTATAATTTAGTTTATTAGTTCCTTCTTTTATAATGCATTTATTTTCCGCACGGCCCTTTGAAAATCACCTATGTGAAAGGTTACCGTGTTTAAAGATCAATAATAATAATAATAATAATAATAATAATAATAATAATAATAATAATAATAATAACAGTGCTAGAAAAAAGTCGGGAGCGGGAAATTGGGATGATACATGGCGGGATAACGGGATCTGAAGTGAAAATCGGTCAGGATGGCGGGACTTCGTAACCCGATACAGGCCCCTCTTCTCTTTGAAAGATAATTATGATATGTTACTGACTAAAGAGAATTAAACGTACAAACAGACTCTTTGTATATATTAGAATTATCCCCCCACCAATAAATTAATAGAGAAATTACGGTATGCGTGTTTTAGAATGTTTAGGATTGTGATAATATTTAAAGCCTGAAAAACAGATTTGCTGGCAAACGTTATGCAATAAACCTTTATAAAGTTATTATTGTAATGTTGGCTTGGAAGTGTTCCTGGCGAGGACTCGACACGACATTGCTTAGAATGCTTGGCAAACTCCATTAAAATGCACAGAACATAAAAATATCATTTATTATTAAAACACTCCGATGTCATCTTGTTTTATTTCAGCGCTGCTTTCGCACACTCCATAATTTTCTTCTTCTCCAAGTTTATCCAGTCCTGGATTGAGATCAGTTTTTCCTATCTGCGCGTGCGCATTAAGTGTTTTGAGGTCCAGCGCATGCGTATTTGCAACACAACATTGGCCGTTTATGGATTTTGAAATACGAAGAAGCCTGCGGGAAAGTCTCCTCCATCAATATGTCGCTGTTCGATTACCTAACTTAAGCGAGTTTTCAGAGGAGATTAAAGGTTAAAGGCGTTTCGGACAAGCCGAATGTTTTAAGTCATGTGGAAATTACCAGAGATGAATAGAAAAATATTATAGCATCACTTACGACGATACGGAACTAACCGTAACTCGCTCATGATTTAATTGACGTTTGGTAAAGGCCGGCGCACACTGGAGCTATGTGCTCAGCCAAATGTCACACGTGCCCAATGGCGTAAGGAGATAGCTCTCGTGTGCGGGCGATTTACGAGCGACTTTTGTCATTTGTGCCACTTATGCCAAATATCTAACATGTTTGATCATTTCTGCCTCGCGTGCCAAAAGCTTTCCATGTGCGGCGAACGAAAGCTATCTGCTTACGGATTGTCGTAACAGCGCATGCGTAGTATAAGAAAGTACCTCATAGCACTTAGTGGTTATAAAATTTATCGGAATTATCGGTCTCACGAACGCGGAGGCGGTGTTTGTATTTACTTGTCGGAAAATATTCCCTGCCAACGAAGGCTAGACTAGCTTTTGGAGAATTCAAGCTTCGAGTGTTTGTGGCTTTGGCTTCGTCCCGAACGCTTACCCAGACCCTTGTCGGGGATTGCTGTTTGTCTTATCTACAACCCCCAGATCGTTCAGCTCAAGAGGTTCGTGATCTTGACGAGTATTTGATAGACACTACTGACTGCTTGCGTAATAAATATCCGGATTGTGGAATTGTTATTCTTGGAGATTTTAACAACTTTGATTTACATAATCTAGCATCCAACCATAGCTTAAAGCAAGTTGTCCATTTACCTACCAGAGGGTCTGCTATCCTTGACCTTATTGCAACCAATTTGCATAATTTATACGAGAAGCCGTATATACTGGCTCCGCTTAGCACTTCGGATCATAACATAATTCACTGGCTTCCTCTTACTAAGGATGCCATAAATACTCTGACCCCCAAACCTAAGCCCATAAAGCACTAGGTGAGACGTTATCCTCGGTCTGGAATTGAGGTTTTCGGACGTTGTGCTTGCTAAAAAAATTGGTTTGACGAACTCAGCGATAATCCAGGGACGGATGAATTGGTTACCTCCTTTTCATCGCAAGTGACCACTGCTCTTAATAACATCTTCCCACTAAAGACAATGAAATTACATCACACCGACAAACCTTGGATAACCCTTCAATCAAGCAACTTATTAAAGATCGTCAAAAAGCCTTCTATAGAGGTGATAAGCAACAATGGCAACTATTGAAGTTCAAAGTGCAATCAGAAATAAAACAGAGAAAGAAATGTTTTATAAGGATAAGATTCAGCATCTTCGTAAAGATGATTGTCGAAAGTGGTGAAATGCTGTAAATAAAATGTCCGGAACATCAAGAAAGAACACGAGCTTCAGTCTCGAGCGTGACGGGAAAATCTTATCTGATTCCGAATTGGTGAACAGTCTTAACAGTTTCTATACATCTGTTAATGCAGATATCCCTTCACTTGATTGCTCAGTACTACCGGCATTCCTACCCGCTCCTGACACTCCACCTATAATCGAACCTTACCAAGTTTATAAGAAACTTTGTACTCTTCAACCTTTCAAAGCATGTGGCCCTGATAATATTACACATCGCATATTAAAGGAATTTGCTCACGAGTTTGCAGAACCCGTTGCAACTATCTTTAACACATCCCTAACCTCTGGAACATTTCCTGCCGCCTGGAAAGATTCGCGCATTTCCCCAATTCCAAAAGTGTCACAACCGACTTGTGAAGGAGATACTCGACCAATCTCTCTCACCCCTTGTCTATCCAAAGTCCTGGAGGACTTTGTTGTACAATGGATGATGAAAGACGTCGTGAATAATCTTGACATACAGCAATTTGGTTGTTTGAAAGGATCATCAACAGCATACTGCCTTCTCGATATGATACATAATTGGCTATTCCACCTTGACTCTCCTGATAAGCATATCCGTCTATTATTTTTAGACTACACAAAGGCCTTCGATCGTATCGGACATAATGTGCTTATTAGTAAGCTTATCGATATCGGAGTAAGGCGCTCTCTGATCCCATGGATTATAAGTTTTCTATCTAACCGTAGACAGTGTGTTAGACTTGGTGTCGCTACCTCGGACTGGTTGGCGGTTACATAACAATAATAATAATATAATAATAATAATGGTTTATTCACAGTATATCCATTACAAACAGAATGGCTCTTCACCTGTAAAATTATCTACATTATGCTAAATATACAGTACGTAATCTATTATCATACAAGAACTACAAAAGTTAAAAAAGACAAATAATCCAATTGCAATGCAAATCGGAATCATTCACTGTTTTTAAAATGTTTTTTTATACAACGACAGAAAGTTCTATAATTGTTAATATTCCTGATTTCTTCCGGAAGCTTATTAAAAATGGAGGCTGCTGAGTCTTGAAATGTTCCTGACTCCTTGGGAATATCCAGGACAGGTGCAGAAGATGATCTTAGACTATATGCATTAACGCAATGTAGCGATAATCTTAAATATTCTGGAAAAGAATCGTCATGTAAAGCTTTATATGCTAATTTTAAAATATTAAAATCCATCCTTTTACTAATGTTTAGCCAATTCAAGGTGGCAAGGTCTTCCTGTCTTGCAAATCTCCTTAACACAAAACCCGCGCATGAATTTTGGAGGCGTTGAAGTCGTTTTTGTTGGTATATTGGCAATGGGTGGAATACAGGACTAGCATAGTCAATTTTGGAAAGCACAAGGCTTTCAACCAGTGTTTTTCTCACATGGAAAGGCGTCAAATTCTTCAGCTTTTTCAACACTGCTAGTATTCCATAACAAGAAGTTAGCAAATAGTCGATATGTGAAGACCATGAAAGATGCTCGTTCAAATAAATTCCTAGAAGATTTTTACATTTTATTCGTTCAAGGAATTTGTCCCCACATTTAATACTAAACGTACGGTCACCCAGATCATGAGCACGCGCCATCTGAGGTGTGGAAACTAGCATCCAGTCAGTTTTGGAAGAATTCAGTGCCAAATTAGAGCATTGAGAATAATCGACCAATCGCACTATAGCATCATTAACGTCTTTTACAGCCGAGTCTAGATCACATACTTTTGAATGGGTATAAAACGATGTATCGTCCGCATATTGATAGCAAGGTAGTTGAAGCTTTTCCTGTAAATCAGCGACGTATAGATTGAAAATCGCCGGTCCAAGAACTGAGCCTTGTGGTACGCCAAATTGTACGGTAAGAAGACTAGATTTACTATCGTTGATTTGTACCAACTGTTGTCTATTTGTAAGATAGTTAATCATCCAGTGCAGAAATGATTTTGAAAAACCCAATCCATGCATTTTAGTCAGAACACACCTGAACTGTACAGTATCAAAAGCTTTGCTATAGTCTGCATAAACCATTAGAGTTACCTCTCCTTTCTTTGATGCTCGAATCAACGCGTCTCGAATACCCAGCAACACAGTTGTTGTCGAATGCCCTTTTCGAAATCCAGATATCGTAGCTCCAAGAAGCACCCTTTCTTCAATATACGCAATCATCTGATTTAAAACAATGCAAGCCGCTCAAATACCTTTGATAACGCCGGCAAAATTGAGACAGGTCTATAGTCCGCCTCACACAAAGGTTGATCTATTTTAGGGATGGGCGATATTCTTGCAATTTTCCACGCTTCTGGAAAGGCCGACCTAGCAATACAATTGTTTATTATGTATTGTAAAGGACCCGCCAGATGTTCTCTCGCCAGTTTTACAAACTTAACCGGTATATTATCAATACCAGTAGATGTGTCTGAGCGGAGTTTGTCAATCTCGCACAACACCTCACGATGCGAAACGGGTCGTAAAGAGAATGATTGCTGTGGCGTTGTACTATCGGAAAGAGAATCAATGAATTCAAGTAAATCTGATAGTGCAGCTGGCTTGGTTCCTAATGTCCTTTCGTTCGTATTAATAAAATAGTCATTGAGTTTATCTGGATCTGCGTGAAGAGGCTTCTTATTAGGGTGGAGAATACGGTGTATCATTCTCCATACCTCCTTTGGTCTGTTAGAAGAAAGAGCAGTTTTAATAAAGTTTCGTTTTGTTTTATTAATAACAGACTTTATCTTGTTGCGAACTTCTCGAAAGGCCTTCCAAGAATCATCACTGTTGGCTTTGTGAGCTTCAAAGCGCAGTCTGTCCCGATCCGCCTGTAGTTTTCGTATTTCATTTGCATTCATCCATGGTGCAGGGGGGCGTGTTAACTTGATTCTTTTTAATGGAGCGTGTCTCTCTATAGATTCACTAAACAAAGTGTTGAGTGCATTTACCATGTCGTCGGGTGATTCTAATCCATATATTACGGAAAACGGTAGGTTAGCGGAGTCTTGAAGAAATTCTTCGGTTACAAATTTCCTCTCCAGTCGTATCCATTTGTATCTAGGTTGAAAACGGCGCACACGAACGTTTACACAGGCAAAAACTGCATCGTGGTCGCCGATCGTAGGAGCTGGGATTATTCCCGTAGCTGCCACACAATGCGGGTCATTGGTTACAATATGATCAATTAAAGTTTTTGAATTTTGCGTGACACGTGTACCCCAAAGTACACGTGTACCCCGGTACCCCCAAGGTACAAAATTGGGACCAATCTTATTTTTTATTATGATCAACGATCTAAAGATCCCATCCCCAGGGAGTACTGGTACTTGGAAATTCATGGATGATGTATCCATTTCAGAGTCCCTGTCAAGAAACAGTGAATCCCGTATGCAGAATCACCTTGATGAGGTCAACACATGGGCTGACAACAACCTAATGAAGCTAAATCCAAAGAAATGTAACCCATTTTAGAACGTCTCAATTTGAGGGGACACCCCTTGGAAATGTTTCCCATCATAAGGTTCTTGGCTTGGTTATACAGGATAATCTTAAGTGGAATGGGCATATTGCCATGATTGTTAAAAAGGCCTCCAAGCGTTTTCATATTCTTAGAGTTCTTAAACGGGGTGGAGTCCCACCTCATGAACTGATCCTTATTTACTATGCTCTCATTCGCTCCGTACTAGAGTACTGCAGCTGCATTGTATGGCATAACAATCTACCAGCTTATTTGGCGGACTCAATTGAACGAGTTCAGAAAAGAGCACTGAATATAAACCTCTCTAGCAGGTCTTACCGAGAAGCTTTGAGTCAGCTCCATTGTTCTCGCATGGATGAGAGACGCGATGCTTTGTGTGAAAGAACGATTAAAAAGATAACTGATGGAAACCGCCTGTTTTATCTCTTACCTCAGACTAGAGAAAACGTTAACTACGATTTACGTAACGCTAACAATTGGTCACTGTTCAAATGTAGAACTGCTCGTTTTCAGAAAAGCTTTTTCCCAAGTATGATTCGAGATTTAAATATGTCATCATGACACTAGTTTTTGAATATCTAAACTATTACAATATATACTTTCCTTTACACCTAAATTTTTAAATTGTAAATATAGTATTAAATTTATTGTATCTTTATAACTTAGTTATGTAATTATTGTAAGCACATTGTAATTCAATTTTTGTGATAGTGTGCCATTAAAAAACGCACGCATATAAAGTAAACATCCAAGATGGTGGCGCAAAATAAATTGCTGGCTGAGGCAATTTTAGAAGACAAACTTGTCGTGGTAATGCTGTTCCAACAACTTGTCTACAAGATATGTTCTCAACAGACTTGTAGCAAACTTGTAGACAAGTTGTTGGAACAGCATTATCACGACAAATTTGTCTTCTAAAATTGCCTCAGCCAGCAATTCATTTTGCGCCGCCATCTTGGATGCTTACTTTCGTATACTACGCATGCGCTGTTACGACAAGCCGTAAGCAGATAGCTTTCGTTCGCCGCACATGGAAGGATTTTGGCACGCGAGGCAGAAATTATCAAACATGTTAGATATTTGCCGTAAGTGGCACAAATGACAAAACTCGTTCGTAAATCGCCCGCACACGAGAGCTATCTCCTTACGCCAACAGTCACGAATGACATTTTGCTAAGCACATAGCTCTAGAGTGAGCCGGGCTTAAAGTGCCACTAACCCCCTAAATTTTCTTTTCATAAAATCAAGAACCGCTATTTATGGAGTACAAAAATGAAAACATTTTTTTAATCGGTTGAATTCTCGCTATTCTATGGCTTCTCAAAGTTTGAAAAATTGCCTTAAAATCGACGCCATTTTGTCCCACGAGCGAGCGCCGATGATCTGGGCTTGTGACGTCAATTGGTGAACCGGCTGTTGTGTCAACACAAGTGTTTACAGTGCTAGGCGAGTTTGTTAGGCATGCGAACGGCGAGAAAATGCCGAAAAGATGAAAGCTTCGTTGGCAACAGGTGGCTCAAAAGGGCGAGATTGGAATTTGTGTATTCCCAACAATCATTCCATCAGCCGACGCACAGAAAGTTTCAGACAGATACAAGAGAATGGTATGCTAATTTTGTATTTTGTACATAATTGTGCGTAACTTGAATTTGTTTGACTAAACCATAGTTAATATAATGAGAGGGTTTGGAAGGCCGGGTCACGTGACAAAATAACTTATTGTTCTCGGTCACGTGGAACTTATAGTGCATGCTTCGGAGGTGTTTACATATACGATAGTATAATAGTTTAAGCCAAACAGAGCCTAAAAACATTAAATTTCATTGAATTTTCCGCGATGCCGGGAGCGAATTGCTCCATATCGGCTGTGGTACATGTCGAAATAGTGCTGGAGTTGGAATTTTTCGGATCCCTTCAGGAAAAGACGCATTATCAACGAAAACTCGTGAAGCGTGGAGCAACATAATTACAAAGGACCGCGTAGTGGATGAAAATTTGCGAAGGCAAATAAAAAAATGGGACGTTGTATGTTTGCGAGAAGCACTTCAAGAAAGAGGAATATGAAATGTACTTATTTAGACATTATTCTTAAGACTTTATAGTTTAATAATAAGACTTTACAGTGTAAGTCTCAGGCTTTTTACACTTTGTTTATGCTGTTCCCGGAGCCCATCGTTGTGTGGTACGAGATTGGCTGATTTTATTGTTAATTTTCTTCTGATAAATAGGAATTTGCCAATTAGTTAACTTAAGAATGACATGAGTGTTCTTACTGTGTATGTATCTATTTATTTTCTGAAAATTTGTCATTTATCAAAAGTAGGTGGAGCAAAAATTGCTGCAATAGTGTTATTAATTCCACAGCCAAGCTAGAAGTGCAATGTAATTTGTATTATGCTCAAATCATACACTACACAATGTATGTTTAATTAAGCCACAATGCTCCTACTTTATCGTTTTAACATTTGTCTGATGCCATATGATTTTAACTCTTTAAGCTGCAATGCTTAATATGCACTGCCCTTGATGTGTAAAATTGTCTGATGATAAACACTGACAGAGTAAAAGAATAAAAGAGCACATTGAGATATGTTAGCCTATTATCTCCAATTAGCTTATTTAAACTGCA